GAAGAAAATGTCAGGACACAAGCCTAGGAAGCATAGTCTAGCCTTACTGCTACATGCCAATATGAATAGTGACCTCAAAATAAAGCCTCTCTTGGTTTATCGTTCTGAGACCTCCTAGAGTGTTCAGAAAACAAAGTCATGAAAAATAGGCTAGGGCTCATGTGCAGATCTAATGCAAAAGCCTTAGTAACAAAGAATACTTTTGCCTGAGTGGATCAGGGAGGCTTTGTCTACTATTAAGAAATATCTAGAGAGGGGCCGGGGATTAGGCTCAGTGGTGCCACTGCCTGCCTCATAAGCGCAAGGTCCCAAGTTTGATCCCCAGTACCAAAGATTTACCACTCAAGGCTCTCATTGTGGACAAGGTTCCTGCTCACCCACAAGATATGGAAGAATCCCATGGCTCTCAATTGACTTCTTCCCACCTAATATAGCTTCTCTATTCCAGCGTATAGTCCAGCAGGTTATACCTAACTTTAAGAAGCCATACACCAAAGTGCTGTTCCTGAAGTGTTTCCAGATGGTCTCAGATACAGACTTAACCCTGAAAGAGTTCTGGAAGAACATTAGAACGTCCTTTTCTGTGTGGGATTGAGAGATCCTGGGCCAAAATCTCTCTGATGATAATGAGATTTGCCTGGAACAAAGCACGACCTAAAATTATATAAGAGACAGACTTTGAAGGCTGTGTAGAGGAGCCTGAGCCTCCCATTGACCCCAGAGTTGATGACAGTGTCACTATAGCAGAGTCCACAGGCCTCTGGTAGACAGTGGTAATGTTGAGGAAATGGAAGAACACTCAGAGGAACTGTCTACAGAGGAGCTGCAGCAACTTCGGGCTGAGCAACAGAGAACGGCAGCTGAGGAGCTTTCTGAAGGGGAGAGGGAGTATCAATAATCAGTGCAGCAAAGTCCTAAAATAAAGAAAATCCTGAAAAAATGGACAGAGCTACAGACATTTGTACAGAAGACCCACACAAAGAAAGTCACTCATTGCATTCACTTGCTTAATGACAATGTCATGTCATACTACAGAACAGCGTTAAATAAAAGACAGAAACACACAACCAACATTACACCAGTTTTTAGTTCTGGAAAGGTTGAGATCTAGTGAGCCAGAAGTAGGTCCCAGTGGGCTACAGACTCTCCCAAGGACAGAAAGGACACCAGAGAGCCAGATTCCTGATGTTCTTATGGAAGGGGACTCTCCTTCCCAACAATAACCACCTTCCATTTCACTCTCCCTTTCTGCAAGCCAAAGATATCAACTTGAATGGTGAGTGCAGTATGACATTGTTGTTTCTGGTAAACTAGGCTCATTTTATAACTTTTTGGTGAATACACTAAGAAGATTATTGGCGGTTTTGTATTATGAAAAGGTTGGGTAAGGGGTGCTTTGGGAGGTTCAGAACTCATTATGGATATTTCCATTATTTCTTATGGGAAAAATAGTCTTTGTAGCTCAGTTAGTTTTTTTTTTGGTACCAGGGATGGAACTTAGAACCTTATGCTTATGAGGCAGGTGGCAGCACCACTGAGTTAAATCTCTGGCCCCAAAATAGTCTTGACTTACAACCAAATTGAGTGACAACCACCCCTCTCGAACAAATTGAGTGCATAAGTCAAGGGTTCATAAATAAAGGAAAAACAAAGGTTTTTTTTTTTTTTTTTTTTTGGTACCGGAGATTGAACTTGGGACCTTGTACTTGCAAGGCAGGCAGTGGATCCACTGAGCTAAAACCCTGGCCCAAAACAAAGTTTTTGTATAAAGGGAGCCAAGGGGGCTTGGGGCGGGGTGGGACAAAATAAAATAAAATTTACTTTTAAAAGATAAGGAAAAGAAAAGTACTACAAATATTAATCATAATAGTTAACACCTAATTTTCCTTTTTTGTTTTTTTGTTTTGTTTTGTTTTTTGAGGCAGGGTCTCACTATGTAGTTCAGACTGCCCTGGCTGAACTATGTAGCCCAGGCTGGTTTCAAACTCACGGTGATCCTCCTGCCTCAGCCTCCTGAGTGCTGAGATTACAGGCATGTGCCACCACGCCTGGCCTATTAACACCTATTTACTGTGTCGGGCATGGTTCTTATTTAGTCTTTAAATCCCAGGAAAGCCTATAACACATATGCTATCTCCATTTTAGAAAGAGAGTCTGAGACACAGTTATTGAGTTCATGCAGCTGGTTAAGAGTCAGAATTACAATTTTTATCCAGGTATTTTTGGCTCCAGAGTCTAAGTATGAAGATAAAAACTTTAAGTTTAGTAAGGAACTATTATATACCCACCCTTAAGAGAAAAGATAGATTCTAATTTCAACTTTTGTTGCTAGTCAGACACAAAACCTTAAGACACATAACACAAACAGCCAGCCAAGGAAGGGAGTAAGACAGGCAGATGTAAGTCATGCAAAACATGTAATAAGCTACCTTGTGAATTTGTGTGGATGTCTTTAAGTAGTACAGAACAAAAAAAAATTTCAGTGGTTGGCAAAGCACTGTGGTCCACTAAGCAAACTTAAAAAATAATTTCAGGGCCAGAGATTTAGCTCAGTAGCACCGCACCTGCCTCACAAGGTCCTAAGATCGATCCCCAATACCAAAGTATTATTATTTCACTATAGACTTTTGTTTTCCATGGAATTTGATGTAGCATTTTTTTTTTTTTTTTTTTTTTTGAGACAGGGCCTCACTTTGTAGTTCAGGCTGACCCTGAACTCATTATGTAGTTCAGGCTGGCCTCGAAATCCTCCTGCCTCTGACTCCTGAGTGCTGGGATTACAGGTGTGAACCACCACACCAGCCTGGTGTAGCAAAATTTTAACCACTTACTGCAAGTGTAAGATGATAAAATCATTTACTTTTACAGCATTCTGCTCAATTTATTTCAATTTATAAGAAGCATGACATACCTAGACAAGAAAATATTTAGCATTTTCCAATTTATTGGGGTATAAAGCATCTTTAGCTTTTTTGTAACCTGAATATTGAATCACGTATTTTTTTTTTATTTACTTTTGTTTTTTTGAACCAGGGATCGAATTCAGGTCCTTGCACTTGCGAGGCAGGTGGTGGAACCACTGAGCTAAATCCCTGGCCCTTCTGTATTTTTAGTTTATATACTACTGACACAATATGAACCAGAAAACACCCATACAGACATAAAAGAAGCATTGTAATCTTTTAGATTATGCCAAATGTTCTGAAATTCAACAATTTATAGATGATTTCTCATTAATGTTTAAAAGTCCTTGGACGAGGAAAAAAGAAAAAGAGACAAAAAAAATGGAAATTCACTCCTCCAAATCCATACTCAGTAAAATACAAAGGATGAGATGCCAGGCATGGTGGCACTTGTCTGTAATCCCAGCACTTGGGAGGCTGAGGCAAGAGGATCACTGTGAATTTGACACCAGCCTGAGCTACATAGAGAATTCCATGTCAGTCTCAACTACATAGTGAGACTGTTTCTCAAAATAAAAAAAAAGAAAAAGAAAAAAAAAAAGAGAAGGTATGAGAAAAACAAAAGTAAAATAATAAATACATACAAAGTCCAATGAAGCAATCTGCCATTTTTTTCTTTATGTTTTTACACTGATCTATCATTACCTGCAACATTAAGTACCTTGAAAGAATTAAAATTGCATTCCACCTGTTTTTATTGGCTTGAAACAGTACTACTGTGAATTTTTTGGGCCTGTGACAATACTGAAAACATCCTATAATTAGTTATTAATAGTAAAAGTCAAGTAACTGCTAATCACTATACAGAAACACAAACAGTATAAATTCACCCTTAAAATCTAAATGCTTGTGCAGCAAATACAGTGCATGCTTGTTTTCAGATAAAATTTTTTTGAAAAACAGACTAGTGCTACAGGAGTGATGGTGCATGCCTGTAATCTCAGCACTGGAGCTGAGACGGGCGGATCACAGTAAATTCAAGGCCAGCCTGAACTAAAAAATAAATTGACTAGCCAGGCATGGTGGCACACACCTGTAATCCCAGCACTCAGGAGGCTGAGGCAGGAGGATCACTGTGAGTTCAAGACCAGCCTGGGATACACAGTGAGTTCCAGGTCAGTCTCAACTATATAGTGAAACCCTGTCTCAAAAAACAAATAAACAAAATAAATAGACTAATCTGTTAACTAGATTAAAATATTTGGTCCTCACTGCATATTGAAAAAAAGCAATGTTTGACATCCCTCCTCAAAAGTATGAAACCTGGAAAGCTGTGAAGGCTCCAAGGACATGGGCATCCAAATGCCCTGGGCTGGGTAGCGGTCCTCAGTGCAGGACCACTCCTCCGTTTTCAGCTTGGAAACAAAGTGAGGTCTCTCCTCAACTGCAAAACCAACAAGTCTGACCTGATTTAATCTCTTGTGCGAGTTAAAAGCAAAAAAGCTATCAACTGATGAGTGGATAAAGATGATGAGGGTTTTTTAATACAATGGAGTACTGCTCTGCGATAAAAAGGATGAGCTTCACACATTTATAGCTAAATAGATGGACCCTGAGACCATACTCTTAAGTGAAATAAACTGGACTCATATGTTTAAATACCCCATTGTTTCTCTGGTGTGAGAAACTTAAACGTGGATATAAGGCCTGAAATGTATAATGGATGTTGGGAATGGGAAGAAAGTGTTGAGAAGGGGAACAAGGGAGGAGGGAGGGAGAAAGGAAGGGACAAGAAAAAAGTGAAAATAGAAAAAATGGAAACAAAGCTTTTGTGCATAGGAAGGGAAGGGGGCTTGAAGGGAGAAATGGGATAAAATGAAATTTATTTTAAAAAAAATTTTTTTTAAAAAGCTACCCGAGATTATGACAACTCAGAAACACAGTTCAGGAGACAGCTGCTAGCAGGTGGCCCCAAAGAGATTAGGTGAGTAACTATCTTGCAAGACCAACACGCACACTCTCTCAAAGGGGCGGTGCTGGGCGTGGCTTGCCGGGGAGGCCGAAATTTCCCAAAGAGATTATAAATCAGGGCCCCCCCTGACGGCTGAAGGCTGGGCTTCCACAGGTACTGGGGTGCAAAGCAGGGACGAACGTCGCCCGAGGGGGACTGGCGAGGATCGGGGCGCCGCAGACGGCCCCGGGAAGTTCCTGGCAAGCGCGAGGGCCGGCCCGCCTGCCACCCACCAGGATACGTTTGAAGAGGTTGCTCTCCTTGGGCGGCAGCTGCACTTTCGGTAGCGGGGCGGGGAGGACACTAGGACGAGCTGCTGCGCTGAGTCGGGCCGTGTGGGAGGACTCACTTCACTGGCCCAGCCTTGGGGCCGAGCGGCAGGCCTGGCAATGCAACGGAAGGTACGATGAGCAGGATAGCCTGGGCTTGTCCGGCGCCCTTGTCAAGGGCTCTGTGGCCGAGGCCGCCCGCTCGCGTCAAAGTGGCTGCCAGGTTTCTCCCGCACCCGACCTGCGGGGCGCATGCGCAGGACACTGGTTCTCCACCGCTGCAGAGGG